GTGGCACGAAAGCCCCAAAGGCCCTAGGTGTAACACCCCGACCTCGTAGGCCCCGAGGTAGTCACTTCTGACCTCTAGTACTGTCCTCACAAACCGCCACTAGCCTTTTCCGTGCACTTTGTCCTCACTCGTGCGCGTCATGAGAAACTTCCTAGGGGGTCATTCATCCCAAACGTGCACTTTGTCCTCACTCGTGCACGCTTAACTTTGGAGTTCTTGGCTAATGAGCTCCCTTAAAAGGAGATGCACCTTATTGGTATGAGTAGTACTATTAATCCATTTAAAGTAAATCTCAAGTGTTACAATCACCCCCACTTAGGAACGCAACGTCCTCATTGCACCCATAAACCAATCTCAATCATATCCCAGAATCTTTTTCCCTGCTAAGTGCCCGCCCGATATCCAACGGATCAGCACACTGTCGCAGGGTTGCTCTGATACCATTTGTAACATCCCGACCTCGTACGCCCCGAGGTAGTCACTTCTGACCTCTAGTATTGTCCTTACAAACCGCCACTAGCCCTTTCCACGCACTTTGTCCTCACTCGTGCGCGCCCTGAGAAACTTCCCAGGGGGTCACCCATCCCAAGACTACTCCCGTGCAAGCACGTTTAACTTTGGAGTTTTTGGCTAATGAGCTCCCTTAAAAGGAGATGCACCTTGTTAGTATGAGTAGTACTATTAATCCATTTAAATTAAATCTCAAGTGTTACACCAGGGTTCTGGGTGAGAGTGTGGATGAAGACAGAGAAAGCCGATTTTACATCGATAGTCAGGACCGGGGGGCTAACTTGGTTTTCGCTCCGGTCCTTCCTACGGGTTTCGAGTCCGATACGAGCATCAGGAGCATTCTTCTGGAGCTGAAGGCACATGTCAGTAGCGACCTGCTCCATTTCAGCGAGGGCTCCGCCTTGTTGGAGGCTTCGGCGGTGTTAACCTCACCGAGGCCTAGGTTTTTGTCTTCGAGGGTCTTGGATTGACCGCGAGTTCTTCCCATTTTGGTAGGTGTTTTTGTGTTTGGTGAAGGGGAGGTCGGGCTTCTTACTTGATTGTACGGACCTCTCAATGACAACACTAAATGATGGATAGTGTACCCGGGGGGTAGCTTATTCGAAGGGTTATTATAGAAAATAACTTAGAGAGAGGTCAGAACAAGTAAGAGAGAGAGAGAGAGTATGTATGCGATATATGAATTGTGTCTTGGTTTACAATGGGAAACTTGGCTGCTATTTATAGCAGTCATAAATGATAGGTCTAATCAACGAGGGCACACATGTCAAGCAACCAGTGGTGGAGGGTCAACTCAACTAGGGTGGCGTCGACATAGCATGTGACCGCATTCAATGCGGTGGTTCAGGTGTGACGTTTGTACTTGATGTGGTGATTCAGCGCATGTGGAGAGGAGATCTTGTCGAGAAGAGCGCCATCGGCTGTACCTACCGGGGCTGAAGGCTCTACATACTGGGGGGTCACTATGTCCCGAAGGCTGTAGGTGCTGATGGCTTGTATTTCAAACCCTGTTCTCCAGTGGACTAGGTTTCCTGAGTTTAAAGCCTTCGGGTGTGGTACCGAAGGCACACCTTGAGCAGTATGGGCTGACTAGAGTCTCGTTTGCTGGGCTTGGGCCATTTAGACCTGTTGGACCTGATTGTTGTATTGGAAGTATGTGGGTTGGGGGATGCCTGGGCCATATACTCCATCACAATATATGATTGAAATCACTTTATGATTATAATGGTTACCTTCTGTGCAATGAAACTTAATAAAATTAGGGACAATCATTGTTCTAAAAATCAGCCTAGGCGGTCCGATTAATCGGCCTAGGCGGCCTAGTCGGCCATAACTGTAGAGGCCGAGTCGGCCTAGTCGACCAAAAAATCGGCCTAGTCGGCCAAAAAATCGGCCTAGTCGGCCGCCTAGGCGCTAGGCGCCCCTCAACTGCCCGACTAGCGCCTAGCGAGTTTTAGAACAATGGGAACAATCATTGAAAAAGGTTGACATTAATCGTATAAAGTTTTATATTTATTTTCTACTATTTATCTCTTAGTTTGGTATGACAATGACATCTTGTTTTATTTAATATTTTTAGTTACAAGTTAAAAGGACAAACCTGTAAAGTCACTTATTTAATTATTTATTAGATTCATGTGAGGCTGCACCGAAGTAAAAAGTGGCTTCAATTATACCGTATAACCGCCTGCGCGACTTGCATAATATAGCCGGTGGCGATTTCATAATTTTGTTGAAAATCGTTGCTTCTTTTAAATGAGCATTAATGCAATTTTGGTGAGTCCCAAACATATTCTTTTGAGTATTAGGAGGCTAACAATGAGTATCGTGATCTCTGTTTCACATCTTCTAATTCACTATCTATTAATTATTTTTTTTCTTGGGAGAACTATCAAATAAGCCCTCGAACTTTCATAAAAAGTGCAAATCAGCCCTTTTACAGGAGGCTTTGTCCGGCTGTCCCCATTTGGGGCGTTTTCCGGTTGAATTTTTTGATAAATTTTTTCAGCATTTTCTTCATTAAGTCTAGTTTACCCATACCAAAGTTCAGCTAAAAATTCAATCGAGAAGGGAGTCAAATGATTTTCTGAAGTATACTGTGCTGCCTAACTACGCAGTTATGTTCAAAAATTCATTTGACTGCTTTCCCAATTAAATTTTTAGCTGAAATTTGGTATGAGTAAACTAGACTTATTGAAAAAGGTGCTCAAAAAAATCATAAAAAAATTCCACCGGAAACCGCCCCAAATGACGACGGCCGAGTAGAGCCTCCTATAAAAGGGCTTATTTGCACTTTTTATGAAAAGTTCGAGAGCTTGTTCTCCCTTTTTTCTTTTATAAAAAAATATTAAATTATGTCTACAATCAATTCCAAGTAATTTCAATATATGCGAATCAAAATTAGTATGATACTTTGGAATACACATCGATATAACATTTTAAAACGAGCATAAATAACTTACAAAATGAGTATCGAAAAAGAATAAAAAATTCATTTGTGTATGCTCATTGATTTTAGGCGTTATACTCATCTGAGTTTAACACAAAAATCATTTGTAATGTGCACAATAATCATTTGTGTATGCTCATTCCTTTTAGAAATTACACTCATTTGAGTTTAACATTAAAGTCATTTCTATAAAATGGCAGATGTAATAGATTTATTATAAAAAATTGTAGCAAGAGGCAGCAAGTGAGAACCGAACATGGCGGAGTTGGAGACAGATGACCAAGTGTCGCAATCATCGTTGCGTCGGTCAATTGTCATATGCGGTTTGGACCGCTTCACAAGTTGGAGACTTGGGCACTTGGCCGCTTGGGAGTCGACGTTCGCCTTCGTGAGTTCGTCCGTGTTTCGACCTGTCATTTTTAGTCGTCTTTGTTGATGAGTTGCAGAGCGCATATTTAATTATAAAAATGTCAGGTTGTATGATGCTCATTGTAGAGTCGGGTGTACGATGCTCATCGTACAATCAATGTATGATACTCTCCATACAACCAATTGCACCGTATAATTTTTCCAATAATAACCACCGTTATTATTTGATGTCCATTTGAAATCCGGCCAATATTTATTCATCAGTTGTACTACTTGTTTATACTAATATACTACTACCTCCGTCTCCCTAAGTTTGGGACAAAGAGATGTGGGGTGAGTTTTAAGAAAAAATGAAATTGTGTGGTTGATATTGAATTGATAAAGTGTGAATAAAGTAAAAATGGATTCTAACCACTCAAATATTAGGTAAAACGGGACAAAGTTAGGGGGACAGAGGGAGTGTTATGTTTAGATCCCGTTTGGTAGCACGAAAATCGGCTGATTTGGGAGATTCTGATGAAATTTATAAACTTCTTGGTGAAGTGGCTGCATTGGTTGATTCTTTGATATGAAATTATTTTTTTAAAAATATATTTTATTATTAAAATAAAGAAATAATTATATGTAAAAATAACTAAAATGTTCATCTACATTAACTTCGGCCAATACAGCCAGAAAAATAACTTCAACCTTATTTTTTCTGCTTATTACACAATTCAACGCGCGAAAACAAAAGTTAGATGTTTGGTCAAAAAGTTGGCTAATAAACTTAGCTGATAAGCCAAAAACAACTTTGCCAAATGACCTCTACAGTATTATATTACGTACTAAACACATACTCCCTCCGTTTCTAATAATTTTGCCAAGTTTGACCGACATGAAGATTAATAAAATAAAAACTATGTGGTTGATATTTGTATAAAAGAGAGTGAATTAAGTAAAAACACAAATTACAAATTCTTTAACTTGGGAAAGTAGAGGAGTTTTCAAAGTTATAAGGGAAAACTATCAAATAAGCCCCCGTACTATGCCGAAAAAGTCGATTAGACCTTCGTACTTTACAAACACTCAATGAAGTCCCCGAACTATTAAAAAACGTTCAATTAAGCCCTTTTGGTCACTAAGTAACCGGTTTCCCGGTTAAACGACGATGACGGCAACGATGTGCTCGAACCCCAGCAATGGCGGCTTTCGGGAAACGAGTTACATTTAATCGGGAAACCGGTTACTTACCGACAAAAAGGCTTAATTGAACGTTTTTTAATAGTTTGAGGACTTAATTGAGTGTTTGTAAAATACGAGGGCCTAATCGACTTTTTCGGTATAGTACGGGCTTATTTGATAGTTTTCTCTAAGTTATAATATACCTAGCGAGCAAGTATTACACGTTAGAGTTCCGCCCTTTGCAATAAAACTATATGTTTCGCCACGCCCGAATCCCAAATCTCTTCGCCTGTTTCTTCCCTCTCCCGTTTAGCATCTTCGACTCTCTTCCTCTTTGAACTTTGAAGCTGGTTATGACAATGGCTCCGCAAAGTCTGAAAGAATGGAAGGAACATTGGGCAGCACATGCTTGCGATCTATTTCCAAAGGAATATGATTTCCTTAGGGTTTGTTCCTGCCTGGAGTGCCGGCAGAAAATAAAGATGCTAAAGGAATTTGAAGAAGAGATGAAGTCTAGGCGAATCCAATTAAAGGTATGTTGAAAGCAAAAACATATACATCGAACACATGCTTTTGGTTGAACTGTTGGCTATAAATACTGCCTTTTCATTGAACAGGAATGTTCGTATAGGCTGCAAGTCATGCGTACTCATTGTGTGCATCTTTCAACCGTCCTTGAGTGGACGAGACAGACCTTTGATTTGCTTCATAAAGTTCTTGAGCGGGTATCCTAGGAAATGATATCTTCTTATTTCAAACACGATTAATTTGGTAAATTTTCTAATGATTAATTTGGTTTGTTTCAGAACTCTGGGGCCTTGTTGACACAAGAAGAAAGTGATTTGGCTGCTGACTTGAAAGCGAGAGATTTGGAAATAGCCAGATTGCTATTAAGCAATTGCGTTCTTGATAGTTTTCCGGATGAAATTGATCATCTTAAATGTGAGATTTCTGTTGCGGATCAGATTGATCGTGGGGTAAGATGATAGCCATATCAGCCATAAAAATTTTCTGTTAGAACATTAATGCTTAATTATCTGTCTTTTGAACAGTCAATTCAGCGATTTACCACTTTTATGCTACTTTAACCTTGGCAGCTTGGCTTAAGTAACAACAATAAAATGCAATTTAGTCCAATGAATACTTTCGTAGATGAGACTTTGCTATGAACATATAAGTATGTAACTTGATTTTCTGTTTTTTATTTGTTTTTGTTCCTTGGTTCTTTGCCCTGTTGCTCGGTCAATTTAATCCCACTATGTATTAAGTTTTTGCTTCCAACCTTTTTTTGTCTCACAGCTATATTATTACAAACGAGCCAAATTTTGGGAGGATGCCTCTCCTCATCTTAAAAGGATGCAAGATATTGAAAGAGACATGGTCAAGAAATCTGTTGAAGAAGACCACAAACAGCTGGACCACTTATTTTTCCAAAAGTGCATAAAAGAGCAAATTGAGGTATCTAAGCTGCCACATTCATACTTATAATCATAACTAGCGGCGTACGCACTATGTGCGACTTGTGCCCAACGTATTAGTGAATTATTACATACGTAGTATGTTTAATTGTTTTGCTATGATTACATATGTGTAATTAGTTTGAGTTATATACATATGAATACTTTTGGTTAATAAAACCAATCTAATAGAAAATTGAGAGTTTGCACACAATGTGTTGGTTAAAACAAGAATGAAATAAAATCAACTGAAATCAAAGTTCTGGCATGTTTGATCCATAAGAATTTTAAATTATTCTAATGTACTTTGTCATAACCTCAAAGACTCGGTTTTTATATGTAATGTAAGGCATACATGCTTTATAAAAGTAAACATGTGAGATTTTGTGATGGTTGTATGGAATATTTTATGCAGCGTTAGAATCAATGGTTTTCTGCGGCTTTAGAACCAATGTAGTCATTGAAAAGAAGTAAAAAAATACTTCCTTATGTATGGCAGCATGGCTAAGTATTAGTTCCATGACTTCCATCAATGACTATCAATGACTATCAAGATAAAGCCAAAATATTCATTGTTTCAACCACAATTCCATGAAAGCACAAAAGTTAACCAAAATGGGCAATAGTGTATTTAAAATTTCAAGCTTCATTGGTGCCAAGAGTAGTCATGAACACACCCCAAAAAATTCCCAGAGAGAACTGAAAAACGAGAAATCCTTGTTATTTGATGATGATGATGATGGTATTTGTGTGTGTGCATGAGAAACCATTTTTTATGTTTTATTATTATTTTTATTTAGTGTAATGGATTGCTTTCTTATTTGGTGTACGATTTTTGTAGACACAAGAAGAAACAATATATTTTCACAAAGGATCTTAGAGGTGTTTTTAGTAAAGGTCATTGACCAGGCTGACCCGTTGGGTCCAGGTTAGCCTTTGACCCAATAATTTGTCCGGGTCACCTGGTCAGTTTTTTACAACATAGTTAAAAAGTGCTAAGAATTTTTATAAGAAGGAATATACACTCCACTTTACATTTAATGCCTATTAACTTTGAAAAAAAAAATCTCCCAGAATGTCTGAGCATTATTTTGTGTAGTGGACATGTAGAGGGCGTGTTCATTAATGAACGGAAGTTACGGAAAATGAGAAAGAGTCAAGGCTAGGAAATGTCTAAATAGTCCATGTTGGGACAGAGACATATCTATATTCTAAAGACTCTAAAATATATTGTAAAAGAACACATACTTATCTATGTTATCGATTAATAAAAACACTCATTTTAAAAAGAGAAAAGGGTCAAATAAAACCTTCTACTATTACGAAATAGTCACATAAGACCATATACTCAATAAAGTGTCATATAAGTACCTGTACATGTATAAAGCAATCAAATGAGTCCTAACGACTTATTTAACACCTCCTAATCCCGATTTTAGCTTACATGTCGATTTTTTTGACTGGTATTTGAACCAATCTTAGTTAAATATTCGACATATGCCGTATAATGTATTCTAAAAAGATGGTCAGAAGTACATTGAAACCGGGATTAAGAGGTGTTAAATAGGTCATTAGGACTCATTTGATTGCTTTTTAGAAGTAGATGTACTTATTATGACACTTTATTGAGTACATGACCTTATGTGACTATTTCAAAATAGTAGAAGACCTTATTTGACCCTTTTCTCTTTTAAAAATGGTATAAAAAGGAATTATGATGTTCGTATCCACCTATATACAAGCAAATATCTGTAAGTTATTTGAGAAACGAGCTCAGCACTAACGAGAGTCATGGATCATGAAAAAGCACACTACAATTTTGTTGTTTATAACTGCGCGGATACAAAATGGAGCAATAACAATTTGTACATTCTATGGTTAAAAAAATTTAAAAGGGGAACAAACTGAAGAGCACAAGCAATAAACATGAAAAGAATGGACTTTATAATAAAGTATTTGCTTAGTTAATTCTTTTTTTAAAGAAAAGCACTTTCATTTGCAGTTTTCTGAACTAAACGATATCAACTGAACCTACAGCCTGCACTTCTCAAAATGAGTGAGAATTAATACAGTTAGCGTCAAGAAGGCATGCTATAAGATCCAATGTTTTGGTTTTATCTAGGGCCAATTTTGATTTTTTTAGTGTTGATAGAGACGGTATTGGGATAAATGATGATTATTACAAACTATAAATAAGGTTGTGACTATAAAGTTTTGAAATTGTATGAGATTAAACTTGGTATAATAATTAAGTTTGTGAAGCTAACTTTTAAATTTGCCAACACATAGTAAGTAGTGGATGATTATTTTCATATACCTGGAACAATAAAATAAAAAAATGTAAAATGCAGAAGACTGGTGTTTGTTTTATTATTGTTAGGACATTTTACAATGACTTATTTTTGCCAATTAATGTAAGCATGACAGGTAATTTTATGAACAACATAAGAGGTATTTTATCGAATATCATGTAGGCAATAAGTAAGAATAATTGTAAAAATATCAAAAACCGACACTCCATATCCCCCAAAGTTGTTCATCCAGAAGCGGCGTTTAAACAAATGATGAAATCAGTACTGTATGAGTGATAAGATCAATTAAGTTACATGAACAAAATTCGCTCCAGGCAAAAACGTATGTTTGTTTCAGAGATTTAAACAGCTTGATGTACTACAATAAAAGAAGCATAAAATTTGAATAGATGAGGTGAAGGGAATACCTTACGTAAAGAGATATTTTAGCAAATGGAAATGCTTAGAGGAAAATACCGCCATCAGAAGAATGTACTCTTCTTGAGCAGCGGTTCCTACTTCCAAGGCCGTTAATCACATTTAAATGGACGCTTAGGTTGAAGACCTGTTGTTGGAAGCAGCGTCAAGTTTTATCTAACTCCGTTACATGCTTAGACAGAAAAAGGACTATACTAACCATTTTTTTCTTTTCTTTTATTATATAACCAAATATGTATTGTCTATATCACTGGACCCATTTATATCAAGTGTTTTTGAATTTTCATTGCTAAAGGTCTCCATGACTGTTCCAGATATAATAAGCAATTGGCTAAAAACGTACTAGAGATTGGCTTTCACACGTACTCTGACTAGACTCCCTCTGTATAAAAATCTCAGCAGCAGATCTAGGAGCAAATAATAACTATACATTTTCTTGGTCAACCCATCCACATACACCACCCCTGGGCTCTCCCTCTTCTCTCAACTTCCTGGCCAGTCCGCCAGGGTTCATCCAAAAAAAACTCAAAGGCGTGAAGATTGACATTTGAAATTGAGATACTTAAAAAAAAACAGAAACAGTTGAGTTCACTTAGTGTTGCTAATCTTGCTATGTTGGGCATTATTTGTTAGCCCTCTCAAGTAATTTGGTTTAATATTACTTTCTGTGTTTTGCTTTTATATAGATTTTTTGCAACTTAAATTACACTTTTTTTAGTTGATTTTGTTTATAAAATTTACATGTTTGCGAGTCTTCTTATAACCAAGAGTATCTATAATGCAACCATGATGCTAGCTGTTGTGCATACGTGGTATGAAAGTGAGACAGAAGCTAATTAATACTACGTATAATTTTGTGGATAATCTTTTAATGGGTTTTTCATGGATTTTTTACAAACTTATAAACATGAATCAAGGTTCGGCTAATTTGGGCATAAAATATTTGTTGGTGTAACATCATAGGTTTGTATATTTGTACCGAAAGGTTAATTTTTATACTGAAATGTTTTGTCTGTTTCGCCATCAAGGCGTATTTATTCATCCCGTTGACTGGCCTCCACAATTTCTTTTCATTCTAGCGCATCGAACCCAGCGGTTTGGCTGCTAGGTTAGGCATTGAGGGTGGCATTTGTCCCGCCTAGCCTGAAGCTCAATGCCTACGTTACTCTCAACTGTGTTGTTTCCCTTCATCACCTCCCTGCTGTCTTAGTTATTTATTTCGAAGCAGTCCTCGGTTCCTTCTAACTCCTGTGAAGCGCAAGTCACTGCATCTGAAAAGGCTCTCTCAGTTTTAATGGGTTCCCCTTGTGTCCTTTATAATTCTGCTTTCCACACTTGGCAGAGTTTTTGTGTCACTCCTCGCCAGAGTTCGATCTCCAGGTTAGCCGTTTACCCCTTTACCTTAGTTTTAAAAGGTGCGAGGCGGCATGAGGTGTTGTCGGTTAATTTACCTTAGTTATTATTTGCTCCTAGATCTGCTGCTGAGATTTTTATACAGAGGGAGTCTAGTCGGAGTACGTGTGAAAGCCAATCTCTAGTACGTTTTTAGCCAATTGCTTATTATATCTGGAACAGTCATGCAGACCTTTAGCAATGAAAAGTCTAGTCGGAGTACGTGTGAAATGGGACTTATTTTATGGGACGGAGGGAGTATATATATATATATATATATATATATATATATATATATATATAGAGAGAGAGAGAGAGAGAGAGAGAGAGAGAGAGAGAGAGAGAGAGAGAGAGAGAGAGAGAGAGAGAGAGAGAGAGAGAGAGAGAGAGAGAGAGAGAGAGAGAGAGAGAGAGAGAGAGAGAGAAAAGGGTCATATAGACCCTTGTACAATTCTCATTCCATCACTTAAAACTATGTACTTAAATTAACATCACTTAAACACTTTTACTCTTAAAAATTAATCACATAAACCATTCACCCGAATATGACTTGTTTTAACCGGTCATTGACAATTAGTAGATATTTTATCTTTTTCTTGTTTTTTCTTTTCTCTTTCTTCTTGTTTTTTGTGTCCTCTTCTCATGTCTTCTTCCCTCCCTATCCTAGCCTCTTCAATTTTCGTTCATTCTCTTCTTCACTCCTTTCTCCTTTTTCTTTTACCTCCTTTTCTTACTCTCACCACCTTCCATTTACTGAATCCCCCTTGGCGACACCCACTTCAAACCTTTCAGGATATGTACTTCTTGAACGATGGAGTTACGTTGACACTTGACAGTGTCACAGTACCTCAACTTCTTCCTTTGCTTTTGATATATAAGCTCACATCGACGTAAAAAGCATGGTGGGTGAAGGTCTGCGAAGGATACACGTACGTAGTTGTTAATTTGTTGCTCCAAGTTGACGTTGTCACTCTAGTCGGCCACCTCCTGCGACGGAGAAGCATTGTCCCATACTAAAGAATAGTTCCGTAATTTTAGGTCTATATATGTATGTTTATATATACATAAATAATGTAATCAAATATATTTTGAGTACAATTTCATCTTATTATATTGTTCTAAAAGTTGCCTACTAACTAATGGTTCATGCATATGTACATCAATACACGCATATATACGGCCGGAGTATTAAAAGATATGAATGAAATTAAACAAACATGTGTTAATTGATTCCAGTATACAAATAATAACCAGCTCCTAAATAAATCAAATCTTGCAATTCAAAAGACCGAAGTACAAGACAACAAGTATCTAAATTATTTATAAAAATCTAAATTAAGAGTTAGAAGAAGTTGAAAAGGAGAAAGAAAATGTTAAGAAAAAGAATGAAAGAAAAATACGGAGTAAGAAGATACAAATTATTAAGAAGGGAGAAGAAGGCATGGAAGAGGTTATGCATCTGGTAGGGGGCTGGCCCGTTAGGATATAATTACTATATAAGAGTGGGAAGGAAGGAAGGAGGGGGTTAGGCAGAAATTGGATCTGGAATTGGCCTTGGGAGTGTGAGACGACTCGAACTGTCTCGATCTGTTTTCTTCTTTATTTCCGTTTCTTTCATTCTCAGTTGTAATCGACAGATTTCATAATCAGTAAATCATCAATTTCTGCTGCGTTTGTTGAGGTTCCTATCAAAAGACACATCAGCGGACACCATCCAAGAGGCAATAGAGGCAGCCGCTTTATTTATTTATCACTTCTTGCCCCACTTTTGAAAGGCGCAAGTAGTGGAAAAAAGAGAGGTATAAGGGGTGCATACTAGCATCTACTGTGCCTGGGACTTATGGATGTGATAAACCAATCGCCTAGCAGTGAGGCGCACTTTTTTACTTGTGTTCACTGTTTTTCTGAACATTATTGTGATAAACCCTATTTTGGTGGATGTTTTTCTTGTGTTTACTGTTGTACTGAATATTATTGTTAATGTTGTTTATGAAACACAAGTATTTTTCCTGTCTTAAGATTTAGTAAGGGTGATCAATGAAATTAGGTAAGAACAAGTCTCTTCCATCTCCCTATGGCGTAAAAGGCATTGCATATGGCGTTGGGAGTGTGAAGTACGGAATATTGCATTGAGGCGTACACAATATTGCATACGCAATAAGGCGATTTGAGGCGTACACAATAGGAGGTCAGGGTGTAAGGGTGTCATTCAGGCCCACCCTGCCCACTTTAAAATTTTATAATTGATGTTATGATCCCTATTTCAAACCACTAGGTATTGATTGGATTATTTTTTCAATCAATCTAATAGATTAATATTTTCATTTTTTAGAAATTTAGTTTTGATAAACGATTCAGAAAGTTTTGGTATTCTATGGTACTTTGAAGTTTGAACATATTACTTTGCTAGGATTATGGCCTCTTATGGTATGTTTTTTATTATATTTAAAACATGCACTTTATATACATAAGTGCAATGTTCCAAGCAATGAAAACAATAAAGAGAAGTGTCTGAGAGTTGATAAACAACTAGTGTCTCGGAAATAGGAATAATCCTCCAAGGTGATGATAGCAGTGGGAGGCAGGTTTTACTTGGAGGGTGTGATGATGCTAAAAGGCAGAACATGAAGATAAAGGCTCAAGGACTGAAGCTAGAAGTCCAGAATTCAGTGAGGTACTGGGAAGGGAGATGCGCCAGGATGAAGCTAAAGTTGAAGATCAAGGCGATTTCCTATCACCCACCTTGAGGACACGGTGGTTGTTCAAGGAGGGAGATATGATAGGACTAGGGCAGAATAGCACTGATAATAACAAATGAGAGTAATAACAATATTTGAATAGTTAGTATAAAAATGAGGTTGATGGTAGAATAGAAAGGAGGTTGGAATTATCATTTGGGCTTGGGACTTGATAGGAACCCACTTATTACACTAGTAATAGTAGTAATAATAATAATAGTAGTAATAAAGGTCTGGGAGTATTCGAGTATAAATAGATGGGAAGGGGGAGTTAGTAGGGAGGTTGTTTAGACTTTTGGTCTGGGACCGGGAAGTTGGAGTTTTATCTCCTTCTTTGGAACTGTATACTCGGATTCTCCATTAATGAAGCTTTCAGTTTTCTTAGTTACCATTCTTCTGTTTGTTAGTTAACTTCTGAAATTGCTAAGGTATTTTAATATTGGTATCAGAGCAAGTTACTTCCTGGAGACGAGAATCGAAATCATGGAGGAATTCCATATGACATCGCAAATGAAAGAAAGACTTGACAATCTGAATCAACAGATGAAGGAGACGAACCAAAAGATGAAGGAGACGAACACTAGATTGAAAGAAATGTTACGTGACTATGAACGTCTAAGTAAGCGCTTGCACCGATCGGAGAACACCGGGCGTCATCGGCAATCTGACAAACAGAGTTTGTCGCTCACCAGTTCGCAGAAGGAATCGCGAAGTGTTTGTTCTGCTTCGCAGAAGGAATCGCGAACAAAGTCTTCCTCATCGTCGCACATTTCACATAACTCTTCGCATCGCTCTTCGCTATCTGACAAACAAAATTCGTCCCAATCGCTCACAAGTTTACAAACGGAATCGTGAACTGTTCCTCCCAAATTGTCACGAACTGCGCAGGTTTTATCTAAATCGCGAGAAACTCCTTCCAATTCTCTAGTTTCGCTGCTGGAATATTCTTGCAGTTCGCATGCATCTTCTCTAGGGAAAACTCACAAATCATCATCGCAAGCCATTTCCCTTGGTAGTTCGCAGGTATATTCGCAGTCGGTAGTCCAACATCTTCATTCGCAAACTGTTTCTCCAAGTTCACATCACAGTTCGCAATCGCGAACTCATTCCTTCAGTTCCCAGCGGTCAGCAACGGCCTTTATCAGTTCGGAAGTGCCATCTCCAGCCGTTTCTCCAAGATCGCAGACTTCTTCACTCGCGGACTATCACAACTCATCTTCGCTGGTCGTCTCTCACCAGGCGCAACTTTCTTTGCTTGAAAATCCACCAACCAAACAGAACACTGAAGTGAAGCCAACACTGTCTATATCTTCAGTCCAAGAATTGGGGATGAAAGATGTTATTCCAGAAGGGGTAGAAAACATTGATTCATCACATAATCTAGATTTGGGTAGAGTTCATGAAATGGATTTGGGTGTACCAATAGATATTGTGTACCATCCTTCATCAAAGGGAATGTTGGAAGGGCAGAAGCAGACTGAGGGTTTCAAAATTGATGGTATGAATTTTATGAAATCTATCAGAACGGGATTGGGAGTAGGATTGACTGGGAAAATGTTAAGGAAAAGCCAGTAGTTTGTATATGTGTTCCAGAAGGAGGTGTAGTCTGTGCCTATCAGTTTCAGATGGTATTTACTGACAAAGGTATCAAGGCTACAGATGATAAGAAATCTGATACATCCGGTGTAGTTTATATTGGAAATCTTGTTGTTGATTCTAAGTGGGTGATTTATAATGGAAATCCAGTCTCTATGACTCTCCTACTAAGAGACTCTTCCAAATGTTTGATTAAAGATGATCATAATTGTAAGTCGGGCTGTCCAAAAGGCAAAGAGTATATTGAAGAGTTTCCTTATGCTAGATTGTTATCCATATTCACAACATCAGTGGGTTCTGCACCATTCATGTCATTGTTTGCACCTAGCAGTTCTAGAATACAGGATTCCTATTGGAAAACTTCCTTTAATAACTCTAAAATTGAATCTGCCATTGTTGTTGACCAGTTAATTGATTTTCCTGGTGATATTAGTAGTCCCAGGGAATACTTCATATCAGATACCACAACTTCAAGGAGTGGAACAACTGAAATCCAAGAGCTTGAGTTATATTATGAGGCAAGAGTTGTTAGCAATTGGAAGATTGAGCAGTTGGTGATTGGGCAGATTGGTAAAACTCAATTCCAGCCTGAGCAAATCTATTCAAGTGGTATTGATAATCTGAAGATAGGGGATCTATTGAGGCTTTTGCTAGAAGAAGGAAGGAGAAAGATTCATGTATGGAAGATCTTAATTCAGCAACCAGTCAAGTATTGGGAGGGGAGATGTGCAAGAATGAAGTAGAAGTGGAAGATAATAATAGTAGTAATAAAGGTCTGGGAGTATTCGAGTATAAATAGATGGGAAGGGGGAGTTAGTAGGGAGGTTGTTTAGACTTTTGGTCTGGGACTGGGAAGTTGGAGTTTTATCTCCTTCTTTGGGACTGTGTACTCGGATTCTCCATTAATGAAGCTTTCAGTTTTCTTAGGTACCATTCTTCTGTTTGTTAGTTAACTTCTGAAATTGCTAAGGTCTCTATCAGGACTTGGAGAGTTGGCACTCTTTAATTGCCTTTGTATATTCCTCTCTCTATATTTTCTGTTATACGACACTTTCAGTTGATACATCAGCTCTTTTCTTCATCTTGTTTCTTGAATTCACTGTGAATTAGCTATTTACCTATCACCCATCCTTCTTTAACGAGCCAGTCAAAAGTTTGGCTATTTTTCCATACCCCTATACAAATCTTCTATAATAGCCCGTCAGCCCAAGGAATCCTCTTAGACTATATATCAGTAGGAAGGATGTTTTTACTTGGACTGTAATTTGCTGGTCTGGTCTGGTTTCTTTGTATTTTTATAACTATCCAAGTCTGGTCTGAACTGGTCTGGTCTGACCTGGTCTGGTCTGAGAGGGATTACAGTCCAAGTAAAAACATCCGAAATGGCCAAGTCTTCATATCTTGTATTTTACTAGGATCTGCTGAAACTCCTTTGCCAGAGATTATGTGTCTCAGGTAAACCAATTGTTGTTGGCCAAAACTGCATTTCTTTCTATTGACTACCAAGTGGCTCTCTTGCAGCAGCTGTAAGATGGTTTTAAGGTGCTCCTTATGATCCTCCAAGTTCTTACTGTATATCAAAATATAATCGAAAAATCCCATGACAAATTTTCTCCAATACGGTTTCAGAACCTGATTCATTAAAGCCTGAAAAGTCGAAGGGGCATTTGTTAACCCAAAAGGCATGACCACAAACTCGTAGTGTCTCTCATGCGTTCTTATTGTTGTTTTCGGGATACAGATTCCTTCATATGTACTTGATGATACCCGGACTTTAAATCCAAATTAGAAAAAATCTTGGCCTCACCCAGTTCGTCTAACAGTTCTTCAATGACCGATTTAGGAAACTTATCTTGGAATTGTCATTTTATTTAGTGCTCTGTAATCACCACAGATTCTCCACCCTCCTCTCTTTCACCATTATGACAGGGTCACTGCAAGGATCCCAGACAATAACATTTCCTAAACCAGCCTTTCCATTTCATTTTTCTGGTAATAAGGGTACCTGTAGGGCCTGGAATTTGGAATGGTTGCACCCTCTTTTGTGTTGATAGCATGATCACACTCCCTATGAGGAGGTAATTCTGTAGGAGCTTTAAAAATTTGTGGGAATTCTCTTAGGACCTCTTCCCAAACTTCACCAACTTCTGCTGTTCCCTCTGTACCTTCCTTTCTGAACACTGGACGTAATACCCCTCACCCTGGGTCTGTAAAGATTTCATAATTGATTTCGAGGAAGCTTTGATTTGGTTGAGTTTAAAACTTCCTTTTAATGCTATCTCCTCCCCATCTTCTTTCGATTGCATAGACAACTCCCGGATGTTTACCTTGACCTCCCCCAGGCTGGCTAAACAATCAATTCCTAACACCAAATCTGTTCCACCAAGTTCCAATAAATAAAAGTCTTGTGTGATGTTCACCCCTTGCACCTATCTTTGTAATTGCTCACATTTGCCTTTATTGTTGATATGATTTCCATTTCCCAGCTCAACTCTGAACCCTGTGTTAGGGTTATATGTCAGGTCCATCTTCTTAACCAATTCTTGTGAAATAAAATTATTGGTTGCCCCTGAATCAATCAATATAAGCACAGCTCTCTTCTGATCCTTACCTTGAATCTGCCTTCTGACCTTGAATGTGTTTGGGGTATTAATGCCCTCCTTGCTGAGTTCAGATAATTGCAGGGCTTTTAATTCGCCATTCTCTCCAACACTATCAACCTTCTGCAGGTTTTTGAAATCCTCTTCTGTTTCTTTCACATTTTTCCACTAATGTCATTTGGTAATTGTTTAGTTTACATACATTTTCTTTGTTCCACTTGTCTTCGCATGTGAAACATAGTTAGTCTTCTTGTTCTATCTTCTAGTTCAGACTGAGTCAGTCTAGGGTTTCATATCCATTCCTTCTTCACAACAGTTGTGTCTTCTGTTTTCCCCTCAGAAGAGTTCTTCCTGGATGGACAGTTTTATAAGGAATAAACCTGCCTTGAAAACCTTCACTCCAGGTCTGTAGTTTGGGAGCATGAGTTCCTTTGTCCTTCCATCCTCGTTTGTCTACCTCCCTTATCCTACTGCCCTT